AATGAACCCATTTTTCGTCCCCAGTCACAATGCGATGCAGAAATCCTTTCCGTCTTTGCCTTGCAAGCAGCTATTCACAAGCAAACAAACGCCGTTCAACATCTCTCGGCTTCAACTCGTACGGCACCCAATTTCCTGGTTTCTGAATCATTCCCATGACTTTCAGGCGTTTTGAAATGGCTTGTTGCATCACTCCCAATGATCCTGCCAATTCTTGTTGCGTTTGACACGAGTCTTGATCAAGTAATGCCTCCAATTCTGCATCTTCGAAAATCTTCTCTCTTCCACCGCCATGCCGGTCTTCGACGTCAAAATCACCGTTCTTGAAGCGTTGAAACCACTCTCGGCACGTTCTTTCACTAATAGGAGCCTCACCATAGGTATTTGAGAGCATTCGATGAGCCTCAGCCGCAGATTTCTTCATATTAAAGCAGAAAATTAAAACCTCCCGCAAATGACGAGAATTTGGCTCGTAAGCTGACATGTTTAATCGAGAATAACTTTATGATGCAGACATAAATCGACTAATATTTCGATGGCGTTATGCTTACAAGTTCCTAAGCTTATTGTATGACATCTACGATCTATTTATTTCGACTAGCACTTACCGGTACAACCATCTATTGCAAAACGGCGGAAGCAAAGTTGTACACCTATGTATGTTTATCGTCACTTAATTGATTTATAATCTGTCTACCTCATATTAATTTAACAAAAAAAATCTTTATTTCGAGGTAATTGAAGCTTAAAACTAGAATATTTAAAAGAAAATTTTCATTACTAACTGTTTACTGAATTACGTGACTTTTTCATAATGTTCATGATAACTCAATTTATTTATTTGAAACGAAATGTTTGCCTTTTATTTACGGTTCAATACACAATGATTTTGGCAAGTTGACATACCTTAATTTACTTTGAGAATTATCAAAATGTTTGTTTAATTTTATTTGTGAGAATTTCATTAATTTCAATTTAGTTTCCAAGATGAGTGACGATATTTTTCTTCTGTATTGTCTTTAGGTGTAATCATTTCGAATGATTAATAAGAATTTCATATTTTTCACATTCGTATAAAATAAATTATGATTCAAACAGTCATTAATTTAATCTTTGGTTCATATCTTCGACTCTAGTTATCGCATTTTGTTCTTGAATTGTTGTAGTACTAACGGTGATATTATTTGGAGACTACAAATATTGCTCTTAAGAATACTCTAAAGACGATATTTTAAAAGGAATTCATTATTGCAGTTGATTAAATAAATGTTGATGCAAATCTAATACATTGAATTTACTGATTTTGACGACGGCCTTTCATATTGGAAACTGTTTCAGTCTAGGTTATGTGTCAACGAAAAGCCAATAACGAAGGTTCCCACACGTTTATATGTATTTTGCTCTTTCTATGCGAACGCAAACTAACACTATGTTGCCTCTATTGGCTGCCCTAGATCATAATAAATGCTATCTCTATAGCGGTGTCTAAAACTCTCGATCAAAACTATTCTATAATATATAGATATATGCAATATGACTTAATAATACCTATTTTATAAGCCGGCTATTATCTTCCTTATGATTTTTATCTATTTATAAATCTAGTCAATAATATTTAATTTTTCCAGACGTAACAAACTTGTTACTTCTCATCTGTACTACAAATTAACATAACATTGTTCCCAATATAATTTTTAGGTTTTCATAAATTATTGTGAAATGATAAAATGACATCTCGGAACTGCAATAAAATTTTAAAAAAAAGTCTTTAAAAACTGCTCTTTAATAAGTATTACCTTTTTAATAGTAAGAAGGTACAATTTTATTTTCAGTAATATCTTAGTATTTTAAAGTGTAATGAGGTTTTATTTGCAATTCATTGAAATTCAGGGTTACAAAATTATAAAACTTTTTTTTTTCACCGTATAAAAAGTATAAGTTATGTATTTTTGTATAATAATAATAATAAACGGTAATTTTATCTAGAACAGTTATAAATGTAATCAAAGTTCCAAATTGTTCGTAATTTTGAACTATTCAAAATAAACGTTTCCGTTACTCTCACATACACATTGAACAGAATCGCCATTAGTGTGTGTAGGTATAACACATTATATGTCACAATACAAAGTTAATATACTATTATTTATTAGGATGTAACGCAAGCGTAACCGGGGGATAAGTTTATAGTATAACAATGGTGTAAAGTACGGAATGCTGACAAGCCATCGGTGGGAATGGGAAATGGGTAATATAACATATATTCAGTCTGGAGTCAATGGTTGAATTAAAGACAATACGAGTCTTAATTGTTAATTGAATATAGTTTTATAAGCAAAACTGATTTTTCTTACATCCTTAGCTGCCACCGAACGTAATTAGTACACTTACTAGATACCCGAACTATACAAGTATTAAGTGTAGTTTGAAACGTTAGATGTACCTAAATAATTCACACTTTAGCTGTTAACAAGTTCGGAGTTAATGAAGACTAGACATAAAGCCGTTAAGTGCTGTGTTAGTTGTCTAACAAACATTGTGTGTTTTGGATTACATCAACTTGTTAACGTCTGTTTTATGATACGCTTAACGTGGACCTGACCGGGGGAGTTAAAATAATGGATAGCTCACTCCCAGAAGATATCAGCATTAAAAATAAAGTTTAACATTAATTATCAAGTTACACACACAAACAAGTCAGCAATTAATTGACTAGTAGCCCCTATGTAATGTATTTTAATTGCTTGTTATAAAGTTACTCCATAAATATACCTACTCGTATATGCTGTATTAAAGTCAAGATAATTACATTTATAATAATAATAATTAAGAACGATTAAGTCAAAAGTAAAATATTAATATACAGGTAGACGTAAGTGTAACTTCCTATTCTTATAAGTGTGAAAGCTTTATGAAATTGCATTAAAATTTATCGTCCATCTATCGCATGTCGCAGTACAACGGAACTTGATTACAGTATTAGGTGCTTGTTAGAGCAGCTATAATCAATATGGCGCGTTCAGCAGGAATATTTCAGTATATTGAGCATACTGAATTCAAAATATACATATTTATAGGATCACAACAACATTTTTAATCTACTTTTTTCTGAGACCTACTACTTTACTTGCATTTTTGTCATTCTATTTCTCGAAGATCCCTCGAAAACAACGGAATTACTGAACTATAGATAATAATGTACGTGAGTGTTCTGGCGATTACACATTTTATTTTCAAAATTGGTCCTTTAAATAAATCAATAATAGGGTAACATACATTTTGTCGAAAGAAGAACTTCCTTTTTTGAATTCTATTGTAGAAAAAAGTAGTAAAGTTGTTATTTATGATATTCCATATTTTTGTTGAGGTTCCAGAAGTTAATGGCAACGAACCGCTAAACAGACTGAGAGAGGAACAAAGATGTTTAAAGTAGCAGATTTGATGTTAGTATCTGTATGGCATGAATAGCTATTGATTTCAAAATAAAAACAGAAATTTATATTAATATAATTTAAAAAGTAGGTATGCGATTTATTTTAAATTCAAAAGAACAACAATTTACATGAAATGTAGTTATTTTAATATTTAATTATCTTCAAAAAGGATTACTTCTAATTTATTTAATTGCTTTTTATTTATTTTTCTATTAAGAGTGACATCTACACAAGTTTACAAAAATCACGACCGTGTCAATCTGCGCTCATGTACAGTCATATACAGTAAATATATATTTTTTTAAAGATGGCGCTGACAATAAAATAAGAACATATAAACATCTTCTATATATATAAAAATGGATTGCTGTTCCTTAGTCTCGCTAAAACTCGAGAACAGCTGAACGGATTTATTTTATCTTAGTCTTGAAATGTTCGTGGAGGTTCAGGGAAGGTATAAAAGGTGAGAAAAATTGATTCATTTTCGGGAAAACCCTAAAAACAGCCCTTTTCTATTTCCCATACAAATGTTTTCTTTGACATTAGATTTGACAACTAACTAATATGTCAATCATTCTGTTCGATGGAAAAAGGAAAACCTGATTATTTATGGCCTCTAGGACGGAATATAGTTCGCCCGGTCAGCTATACATATATTACTAACTAGAAGACCTGGCGAACTTCGTATCGCCCTATAATCAAGAAATATCTATTACGTTTTTTATTTATATTTTTGGAGTTTACCTGTAAGCCATAAATCTGCGTGTTTTGAAGTGAGACAGAATGATTGACATATTAGTTGTCAAATCTAATGTCAAAAAAAAAAGTTTGTATGGGAAATAGAAAAAGGCTGTTTTTATGGTTTTCCCAGTAGTGAATCAATTTTTTTCAGATTTAATACCTTCCCTGAACCTCCACGAACATTTCAAAACTAAGATAAATCCGTTCAGCTGTTCTCGAGTTTTAGCGCGACGAAGGAACAGCAATCCATTTTTATATATGTATATAGAAGAAGAAGATGATGAAATTAACGCGGACGAAGTCGCGGGCAAAAACTAGTGTTATAATAATTCTCAACATATGTCAATATAGGATCTAAGTTTATCACGTATATGTTTATGTCAATATTGTTAAAAAATATATTTTAATTTTATATAAATACTATTATTTTTTTAATCTATATAAATTTTATCGTCTTAATTTTATATATATATGTGTGTTTTTTATAACTAAATAGCCTCATAAATGCTATTTACACTTTAAGAGATCGGAATTTGACATTTCTCGATGTCATGCGGTACCAAAAGTGACGGATGCCGTTTTAAATTTTCAAATAAAGTAAATAAGTACCTAACTTCTATACGATGAAAAAACGTTATGGGTTTTCCTAATAATATTTTTAAAATATTTACTCCCCCTGACAGCAGGACAGTTACACTAGCAATTGTAATAAAATCCGCCAAAAATTATTAGTATATTCAAAGCGGTGAAGGATCCTTATTATTAAACTCTTATGTTATAAATAGTCAATTAATTTATAAAAATAATAAAGATATTAAATGTATTATGGAGAATAGATATAAATGCGTTAATTGCGGCGCCGCAGCCAACGCTTTGTATCGTACCTATGGACCTTCTGTATTGAAACTTACGAAGTGTGTAAGTGTAATTTTCATACTAAAATATATTTAATTTTGTGCTTGATGCGCTTTAACTTGGATAGAAGTACTTATTATCGTATTTTTTAACTATCCATGAACAAATTCTATCTGTTTTTCGTAATATAGCTTTTTACATACAAACATTTACCCAAATGAGCTGAAAAGCTAGAAAACATACAGAAATAAGATCTTTTAGCATCTATAATTCTATTGGGTTGGTATTATTACATAATATTCTCTATAATTCCAGGATACTTGTAAAGGATTAGTTGACAAATACATAGAATATGACTCAGTCATAGTAATGATTGATCTGGTTCTGATGTCCAAAGCAGCACAGAGACATATTATTTACAATACAGATTTCAAGGTATTTTATACATTATTGATGTAGATCTATAGATTTATATGAATACTAGCTGACCCGGCAAACATGGTTTTGCCATATAAAAAAATAGGGGTTGGTGTTAAAAAGTAAAAGTATAAAGTAAAATTTTTAATAATTTAATATAATATAAAAAAATACAAAACTTTTCATCCGAAAATAAAAATTAACGGTAAACAACCCTAATGACTTAGGAGTATGAAAAATAAATGTTGGCCGATTCTCAGACCTACTCAATATGCTCACAAAATTTCGTCAAAATCAATCAAGCCGTTTAGAAGGAGTTCTCTGTCTAACACCGCAACATGAGCATTTTAAATAAGGTAATTGTTATGTAAACATTGTACCAATAAGCTGTATGAAAATATACATACATATGTATATACATAATATTTCTTTAAGTGATGAGACATAATATTTGTCTTCAGATATATTGGAAGCTGTTCATCATCCTCATAATGTTGGAGACATACGGAGTGTGGAGGAACGACAGTCTGTTTAACATTGTGGTCACTACAGTATGCGATATAAGAAATAAACATACACTGAACACAACACACATGTAAGACATATTATATAGAATATAATTATAAAAGTGTTATGTATTATACTTGCTCGGTATTGTTTAAATAATATAATGTTAAGTGTAATGTAGATAGATTATTATATTAGTAACTGTCATTCAGTTTTGTTACTTAGAAAATACATACATACATACATTACAAATTTAATAGTTTTATAGAATACTACAAAAAGGATTTTAGATGGAATTTACATACTACAGATATTTTTATTATATAATAATATTAAACAAAGAATTTGTGTGTTTTAACATAATTATATATTTCTATAAATAACTATTTCAGTAACCTGCCAATAGATTTCAGTTTACCTGAATCATATCAAAACAAATGTCTAGGTTGGGAGCTTGAAGACAGAGATACTGTGGACCTCTTTATATGGGAGAAGAACTTTTATATACAGTTTATGTCTACTTTCATTGGTACATATATAATATACATATATAAATAACTAGTTTTTGCCCATTACTACATCTCATAATATATGGCTGTAAATAACCAGTTATTGGAATTTATTAACCCATTTAGACCTACCGTCTCACATACGATACACCAAAAGTAATAAATTATTTTGAAGTTCCGTCGATAAGAATTTGTTTTTATTTGGAACCCATGTGAAGTGCAAGGTCTGTGCAACATTCCGAGGAGAGTGTATTTGTTATAGTCGAATACACGAGTTGGCTACATACATGGTTTGTTAGTGATTTGTGCATTGTGATCATATGATGGTATCAAAACGGTAAGAAATGCAATATTTTTTCAAATTATCTCATATTTATAACAATTTATAATTAGAATACAAGTTAAAGCGTAAATTGAGTGATTCATGCTTTTTACTCGTAAACTATAGTGTATCGTATTTGATACAGTAGGCTAATACGCACAATATATTTTTTATTTCAGACTTACATTGAATGAAATTGTCATTCTGTTAGAAGATGAAATCGAAAATAGTTTCACAGAAAATGATATTTATTTACTACCACCTGAAAATGCAAACGGGTTGTTGACTAATAATGATTTTGGAGACGAAGATAACGTTGAAATCAACAACCTACCACCGAGCTTGTGGAGAACGAATGGTGAGTTGCATGGAACAAATTCAGAAGATTTTAAAAGTCAACAAACAGGTCTTGGAGTTGAAGTAGATCAAGAGCCAGATTTATGCGAAACACTACGCAAAACATCCAAAAAGTACAATTGTAGAAAAAAAATCTTCACCGAAGCAAAACCGACATGGAAACCTATGTTCCATGTTCCTAATCAAAGGTCGCCTATCGAATGTTATTCTTTATTTTTTTCAGAAGATCTTTATCTATTACTCACAACTGAGACTAATAAATATGTACTTAGGAAGGAAAAATCTTCCCGTTGATATGAAAATGGAAGAAATGAAGCGTGCTATAGGCATTTTGTTAGTAAGCGGCTACTGTCAAGTAAATAGAAGACGTATGAACTAGGAAAAGACACCTGATACAGAAAATGATCTGATTGTTGATGTGTTGATCTTTCAGACAAAACATATCTCTTCGGACAAGTATTCGCGATAAGAAGTGGTATATGCCACTCATTCTGTATTGTATAGACATGTCACTTCAGAACGCGTGGCTACTATACAAATATAATGGTGGTAATGTCGATATGCTTGACTTTCAGGCGTCGCGTAGCTATCGCGCTTATAGAATCAAATACCCTTAAAAGTAAAACAGGCCCTAGCAGACCATCCTCACTAACCATGGACACGAGGTTTGATGAAAAGGGTCATTACGTCATCAAACAACCACAGAATAAACGAACAAGATTTGGCTTGTGTCATCGATCATGTCCTGCAAGATGTGTAAAGTGCAATATTGGACTTCATATTGATATTTTTCTTACCTATCGTACCAAAAAATAATAGTGTATATTTTTTGTCAATAAATACTTTTTGCCTTAGATACTGGAATTTATGCTTTTATATAAGCCTACTGTATCACATAGGATACGGCCCATCTCAGACCCCCTATGGAATCGATTTTTTTTTAAATATTTTTTTCATTAATAACAATGTTCAATGATACGATAAAAATAGAAAAAGTACATATTTTTCGAAAAAAATAGTTTCCGGTCTAAATGGGTTAAGTTTCTTTTGATTGAACAGAATTAAATATCCTATGTCCGTCTCCTGGTTCTAAGCTAACTCTCCACAAATTTTCAACCATATCCCCACAGTAATTCTTGAGTTTCGTCTTAAATACTTTAAATATAATATATCCCTACTAATATTATAAATGCGAAAGTAACTCTGTCTGTCTTTCTGTTACACTTTCACGTAAACCACTTAACTAATTTTAATGAAATTTGGTACAGAGATAGAGTTGACCTTGAGAAAGAACATAGGATAGTTTTTATCCCAGACTTTTGAAAGGTTCTCTTGGAAATACGACATAACCGAACTCCACGCGGGCGGAAAGCTAGTATATATATTTATAATAAAAAAAGTATTTAATGCACATAAAATTACATTCCAGGCATCGTGATATTTATTGCACCAATACACATCACTATGAGCTTTTTGAGGAAATCAAACAATGAAGGTTCGTTAAACTATATTCTTTTACATATTTAATGAGCTAATAATATTAATAGTATATTTGTTTTGTTTCAGTGTCCGTTAAAAGCATTATAAAGTGTTTTTCATTATCACAAACAAGTCTTCTGTTAACATTACCTATGTTAGTATGGGGACACACGGACACACCACATACAAGATTATTACATTACACATTAGTTTTTGGATACAGTTTTGTGTTATATTATAATGTGTTCTATGGTAAGTATTTATATAGAAATTTATAAATATAGAGCTCTACAATCTTGAGTAATAATAGAAATTTGTGAAATGTTACATTTAAGAACCTTTAAAAATATATAATATTATTCAATACAATATTTAAAAGTTATCAAATGAATAAAATATAAGTAATTTTTGCAATCTATCCATCAAGGGTTATAGTATCTATTCTGTAAGGGTTTTATCATTATACTGTCTAGATGTTAGAATTCATTCTTATCGGATAAAATGTTGATGTCTGATAAAATCTGTTTTTAGAGTCAATTGTAATTGTATACTAATGATGTTAATTTATTTTCCAGTACTTTACCAAGGACCTAAGATATTAACGGTTGTAGCACTTCTGATAAGCAACTGCCTCAAATACTTCGCGACATTCCACGCTACAACTATCATACGACAATTATTGAAGTAATTATGTTCATATAAGTTTATTCTTCTTCTTTAGTTAGTGGCGTTTCCTTATAGATTTCGCCAATGTCGTGTATCGATATTATAATGAACTATGTAAAGAGGGATTTGTGAGTGAACAAGGTTGCGACTAGAAGCTTAGAGCTTGGCCAGGGAACTGTTATGCCAATACTGTGTCCAAGAGGAGAGAAAACGTCTTGCAATGAAGAGCAAATCCGTGGGATAAACCTTGAAATGGTCCATACAACCGGTGTTAGTTGCGTCTTTCGCATAGAAATCACCGGTTCCATTGCCGGGAATGCCACTGTGGCCAGGAATCCACGCAAGAATGACCTGTATATTATTGTTTTGACGGCGGAAGAGAATATTTTTTATCTTTGAAATGTAGGGGAATTTACGTTTAAATATAAAAGGGTTCGTTGCAATAGACTGGAGGCAGCTTTTAGAATCGCTAAAAATAACCAAATTACTAATCTTATGGGACTCGACAAAACTCCCTGCTTCCAAAATAGCTACAGACTCCGCAGAGAAAATTGATGTTTCCGAGGGAAGTTTAAAATTTAGAACAATATTGTACTTTGGGATACAAACAGCAGCACCATTTTTGACATACAAATTATCCTCAAGCATTTAGCTTGGATTTTATCAAGTAAACACAAAGCAGATTTTATAGAAGGAATAAGAAGAAAGGAACCGTAATCGAAATAACTGCGTATTAGGGCAATGTATAACATTCTTTGAGTATAGGGGTGGCTACTCCTATACTCCAACGTCTGGGTGCGCCGCCCCTCTCTCTACAAGGGGTGAGGTGCTCAGACGGCTGAACACCTGTCTTTCTCTGTCTTTCTTTCTTTATATAGTTTACTCTTCTCTTAGTTTCTTTATCTTCTATATATATAAAAATGGATTGCTGTTCCTTAGTCTCGCTAAAACTCGAGAACAGCTGAACGGATTTATCTTATCTTAGTCTTGAAATGTTCGTGGAGGTTCAGGGAAGGTATAAAAGCTGAAAAAAATTGTTTCATTACGGGGAAAACCATAAAAACAGCCCTTTTCTATTTCCCATACAAACGTTTTTTTTTGACATTAGATTTGACAACTAACTAATATGTCACTCATTCTGTCGCACTTCAAAACACGGAGATTTGTGGCTTACAGGTAAACTCCAAAAATATAAATAAAGAAACGTAATAGATGTTTCTTGATTATAGGGCGATACGAAGTTCGCCAGGTCTTCTAGTATTTTATATATTCTATCTTTCACCGTCTTTTCTTCATTGTCTTTCCTTTATATATCTCTTGTGCGCGATGTATCTTTGAGGACGGAAGGGCTTTTACGGCCCCTAATCCCCTAACCTAACGGTTTGCGGTGCCCGGCCTTGGGATGGATGGCCAACGTGTGGCTCGTCCCAAGCGGACTAGGACGGCCCTACCTTTATAGGGCCACCTTAATGAATGGCGTCTGGACAAAAATATCTACCCCAGGAGCCTCGATGAGGTTGGGGAATCCCTCACCGGTTCGCCGGTCTGCCCCACGCATTCTGGGGGGAGCAACTAACGCCGCGAGCGAGGGTCCTTCTTCAAAGGACCCTCCTAGACGAGGTGCAGTGGGCACGGATGACTTTGGCGCGAAAAATGGAAATGATTTGGTGTGTGACAAGGTACCAGTGGTGAGGCTGGAGAGAGGCGTAGTCAGTACGTCGAGGCCAAGGAAGCGCTAAACCGCCACAAGCGGGAGGCGCTCCTTCTAGAGTCGGAGCAAGAGGTGATGAGGCGGGCGAAGAGGATTGAGGTAGCAATACCTTCCCTCAGGTCTCTGCCGGCCTCATCCCTCGAAGTCGAAATGAACAAGGCGCTCGAAGCCATCTTGGAAGTCGCCCGGAAATCCGGGAATCTCTAGGGCGGCTGCATTCGAGCGCTCAAGTCCTCAACGCAGTTGCTGCGCAACACAAAAGAGGTGCTCCTAGAGCGAGGGGCAAGCGACGTGGTTCGCATCCTGCAGGCCCAATTGAAGGAGGAGCAAAACAAAAACGCCCTGCTCGCCATTACTTCATTACAGTCACGTAGAATAATGTCAGATCTATTATTTCTACACAAAATATGGAACAACAATATTGATTGTCCAGGTATATTGCAATTATTTAATTTCAATGTTCCTTAAGATTACCTAGAAAACCGAGAGCCTTATGTCGTGTACCGCTATACAAATCTAACTTAGGAAAATATTCCCCGCCAGCTAGACTAACACGCACATATAATGATCTCTCCTCGAAGATCTCAAAGAAACATAAATCAAATATCAATATGTTAAGTTTCTTAAAAAATAATATAAATAACTAAAAGTAAAATTATTAATTAATTATTGTTATTAACTGAAAATTAATTCAAAAAATGCCAATTTTTATTCATTTTGCATTTAATATGTTCATTTAAATACAAATCAATTGATATTGTTATAAAACTATTAAATAATTCAAATTCTCTTTAATTATATAATTGATCCAAAGAAAAAATCTTGTGATAATTACTAATGTTTAATATGTATATTAAGTGCATACCTATAAAAAAAAAATTCAATTATCAAGTGTGATCAATTGTTAACTATATAATATTTGTAATACTATTGTCATTTCTGTTGGTGATACTATAAAATAAATAATAACAAGTTTACAAAAATCATCACCATGTCGATCTGAGCTGCTGTAATGAAATAAAATAAATACTTATGTCTTGTAAAGATGGCGCTATTATATATTTAGAAAGAAAATTTATACATATTATAATAATTCTCAACATATCTCTTTATGAGATCTAAGACTATCGCTAGTATATATCTAACTTTTGATATTATTAATTACAATATTTAAATTATAAACAAATTCTCAGATAGGTATGTGTTTAGTAACTAACTAGCCTCATAAATGCTAATTACACTTCAAGAGACTGAAATTTGACATTTCTCGACGAGTGACGTACGTCGCTTTCAATTTTCAAATAAAGTAAATAAATAACTTCTATACAATGAATTAACATTATGGGTTTTCTTAATAATATTCTTAAAATATTTACTTCCCCAACAGCGGGACTATTACACTATCAATAATAATAAAATCCGCGTAGAAATATTACCATATTCAAAGCGGTAAAAGATCCTTATCGTTAAACTCTTATGTTATAAATAGTCAATTAATTTATAAAATTAACAAAGATATTAAATGTATTATGGAGAATAGATACAAATGTGTCAATTGCGGCGCTGCAGCCAGCGCTTTGTATCGTACCTATGGACCTTCTGTATTGAAACTCACTAAGTGTGTAAGTGAAACATTCATACTGAAAATATATTTTATTTTGTGATCGATACGCCTTAACGTATATAAAAATATTTATTATCATATTTTTTTAACTATCCCTGCACAAATTCCAAATGTTTTTCGTAATATAGCTTTTTACATATAAACATTTATCCAAATTAGTTCAAACATTAAAAAACATCAAAAATAAGATCTTTAGCATCTATAATTTAATTGGGTTGGTATTATTACATAATACTGTTTATAATTCCAGGATACTTGTAAAGGACTAGTCGACAAATACATAGAATATGACTCAGTCATAGTAATGATTGATCTGGTTCTGATGTCCAAAGCAGCACAGAGACATATTATTTACAATACAGATTTCAAGGTAATTTATACATTTTTTAAACAAGATTTACAAATTTATATGAATTTAATTGTTAAATACTTATTGTAAGAATAAGTTAAATATACATATTACTTAATAAGTTATATATACATATTAGTATGTATATTAGTATGCTGACCCCGCAAACATTGTTTTGCCATAAAAAATTAGGGGTTGGTAATAAAAATGTAAAAATGTTGGGTTGTATGTATTTTTAATGCTTTGTTATATAAAATAAAAACAAAAAATTTTGACTGAAAATTAAAAAACCCTTATGACATAGGGGTATGAAAAATAGATGTTCGCCCAATCTCAGACCATATGAATATGTTCACAAATTTTTATCAAATTCGGTCAAACCGTTTCGAGGAGTTCTCTGTCTAACACTGCAACATAAGAATTTTATATATACTTGTTATGTAAACATTGCAATAATAAGCTGTATGAAAATTTATATACACATTTGTATTATATACAGGGTGACTGGTGAATTACTATCGTTACCTGAGGACGTGATATTTGACGATCATATATGACAAAATAAAAATTAATATAACATAAATATTAATAAACTTCTAAGTAAAGTTAACCAAAAGTTATGTAATTAATTACGCATCGTGTGAACATCCTACAGATTAGGTATACACACACACACACACGCGAGCGGCGGCGTGGTGTTGTATCAGCACGCCGCCGCACGCGTCCACACTTGGAACACTTGGAACGTGTCCACACTTTATTTATTTATACGGAAATTTGGTCAAAAATTAAGTACCTAATTTTTTTACATAATTCGACTGAGAATCATGTACCGAGTATTCTCCTTAAATATTGATAGTAATTCACCAGTCACTCTGTATAATAATTCTTTGTGTGATGTGACTTAATATTTGTCTTCAGATATATTGGAAGCTGTTCATCATCCTCATGATGTTGGAGACATACGGAGTGTGGAGGAACGACAGTCTGTTTAACATTGTGGTCACTACAGTGTGCGATATAAGAAATAAACATACACTGAACACAACACACATGTAAGACATGTTATATAGAATATAATTATAAAAGTGTTATGTATTAGTTATACTTGCTCGGTATTGTTTAAATAATATGATGTTAAGTGTAATGTAGATTACTTTATTATATTGGTGGCTGTCATTCAGTTTGATACTTAGCACAATACATACATACATGACAAATTTAATATAGTTTTATTGAATACTACAAAAGGATTTGAGATTGAATTTACATACTACAGATATTTTTATTATATAATCATAATATTAAACAAAGAATTTGTTTGTTTTGACATAATGATACATTTCTATAAATAACTATTTCAGTAACCTACCAATAGATTTCAGTTTACCTGAATCATATCAAAACAAATGTCGAGGTTGGGAGCTTGAAGACAGAGATACTGTGGACCTCTTTATATGGGAGAAGAACTTTTATATACAGTTTATGTCTACTTTCATTGGTACATATATAATATACATATATAAATTACTAGTTTTGCCCGTTACTACATCCGCGTTAATTTCGGAATTAGTAATATATGCATAGCTGACCGCCGCCGCCCTAGAGGCCGTAAATAACCAGTTGTTGGAATTTATTAAATTTTTTGATTGAACAGAATTAAATATCCTATGTGCATCTCCTGGTTCTAAGCTAACTCTCCACTAATTTTCAACCATATCCCTACAGCTGTTCTTGAGTTTCGTCTTAAATACTTTAAATATAATATATCCCTACTAATATTATAAATGCGAAAGTAACTCTGTCTGTCTTTCTGTTACACTTTCACGTAAACCACTTAACTAATTTTAATGAAATTTGGTACAGAGATAGAGTTGACCTTGAGAAAGAACATAGGATAGTTTTTATCCCAGACTTTTGAAAGGTTCTCTTGGAAATACGACATAACCGAACTCCACGCGGGCGAAGCCGCGGGCGGAAAGCTAGTATATATATATTTATAATAAAAAAAGTATTTAATGCACATAAAATTACATTCCAGGCATCGTGATATTTATTACATCAATACACATCACTATGAGCTTTTTGAGGAAATCAAACAATGAAGGTTCGTTAAACTATATTCTTTTACATATTTAATGAGCTAATAATATTAATAGTATATTTGTTTTGTTTCAGTGTCCGTTAAAAGCATTATAAAGTGTTTTTCATTATCACAAACAAGTCTTCTGTTAACATTACCTATGTTAGTATGGGGACACACGGACACACCACATACAAGATTATTACATTACACATTAGTATTTGGATACAGTTTTGTGTTATATTATAATGTTTTCTATGGTAAGTATATATATACATATATAGAAATTTTTTAATTAAGTGTTCTACAATCTTGAGTAATAATAGAAAATTGGGAAAAACATTACATTCAAGAAGCTTTAAAAATATATATATCGTTCAATATTATATTTTAAAGTTATAAAATTAATAAAATATAAGTAGTTTTCGCAATTTAATCATAAAGGTTTTGCTATATCTATCCTTAATTATGTCTAGAAGTTCATTCTTATCTGATAAAAAAATTCTAAATTTGTAATTGTATATTAATGATGTTAATTTATTTTCCAGTACTTTACCAAGGACCTAAGATATTAACGGTTGTAGCACTTCTGATAAGCAACTGCCTCAAATACTTCGCGACATTCCACGTTACACCTATCATACGACAATTATTGAAGTAATTATGTTCATATAAATTAAATATTCATTAAACTATTTAAATAATAATTTTGTATAAATATCGACCTTTACCTAACATATAACATACATATATAATAAAGAATAGATTAAAGTCAGTGGTCGCTTAGTGGTTAAAAGGCCCGCCTCTCACGCATGAAGGCGCTGGTTCGATCCTGGCAAGTACCAATGTGATTTTTTCGAGTCATGTGTACTTTTTAAAAATATTTAGGCATAACTGATTAATGCATTCCCAGAGAGGGTTGATGTCAGGCAGGCGGCCGGTCGTAAAAACAATTAGCCAAAACTATTCACAACATGCAAGGCAGACCCTGGCTTCCCTAATGTATTTAAAAAAAATTGTAAAAACAATTAGCTTCCCTGGCTGGGAAATTGCCAGAAGAAGAATAATAAAGAATACATTGAAAAATACATACATTTATATCACAGAGTATTTATTTTCAAAATATAATGACTTTAACACTATCATGATTCACAATTTACAAACACTTAAAAGAAATCACGATAAATGAGTTAAATTAATTACAATTCGGAAGACGATACAATACATTAAAAATGAACATTTTCATTTAATATTTATATATAATAACAGAATCCTTAGAACTAAACAAAGAATAAATAGAACATGCAAAAATAAATTATACAAAATATATTGTTATATACAGGCAAGAGTATTATTATTATATAATTAATGATTTAAATTATAACTACATAGTTGCATATAAGAATACATTGTAGAACATGCTTAGATCTTTATACATAACATGGGAGCATGTATGATGTTTTTGCTATTAAATAATAATTAAATTCTGACTTAATTTTAACTTTAAGGCCAGATTTTATCATCATTTTAATAATTTTGTCATTAAAATTTCATAATTTTAGTGAAATGGTATTTTTTTATTATTTCAAAACCCATTGGCAGTCTCCCATTAAATAAGCTTATAGAAATAAATATTTGAACTTCTTTTAATATTGTTTCAGTAATATCATTGGTAGCAAATTAATGTTAAGTTATTCTTGAGGAATATATAATTTTAATAATTTAGCAACTTTAGGAGACAATTTTCTGTTCCTCAAGTTACAAGTGAATAATCAAAAATATATATTTATTAACAAAACAAGATTTTTCAACAAACATCCCTCAAAGATCTTTAATTTTGATTAATAATATTAAAGCCGAAATTTTATTTAAACATTTAACATGGAGAATGTTTTACTGGTCCGTTTTTTACATTACCTAAACAAGAATTTGTAAGAAGCTCAATAAAACTACAAAAGCCAAGATGATGGTGCCATTGCATCATTCAGAATAGATTTTATTATTTATAAATACTTGATAACAGGAAAACTTGCTCATAAACTCAGTCAACAATATTAATATATCACTTTATATAATGCACTTTACGGTAACTACGGAACTAACGGCGGATCGTCCTGACCGATCATGACGTCCTCATACATTATGTCGTGATTTCGTCTTAAAGCAATTTTCTGACGAATATATTCTATTAAATTATACTTCCTTATAACTAAGACGAGGCCGGCGACAACTAGTGCGATAGTGAATATGGAAACGACGGCGGCAGTCACGTCGTGATCAGAAGCCGGTTTCGAAGATTCTGATATACACTCGTCTCCATCCTCAACAAAACCTTCTAAACATTGACACTGCAGCGTCGATTGGTCGCATTTTTGATTTTCACGGCACGAATTATTGAACTTAGAGACGCTACAGGACAGGATATTCTCTGTTAAAAAGAATAAATCTCTCGTATCACGTCCTGAATAAATTGATTCAATTAAATAATTGACTACTTACCCGTGTTCGCGAAATGTATAAAACTCAATATTATCGTTGTAATTATATCTAAACTTCTTAAATCCATGTTTATTGCGTTTCAGTTTTGAGGACACACATCACAATTTGTAACGGGATAAAGAATTTTTTGTCTATTTTGCTCACCGATGACCGAAACTCTTAAGACATCAGTCGCGCAAGCAAAACAAATGTCATCCTGTCAATATGTGACGCACATACATGGCAGGACTCTGTGATATAGCGTTTAGTTTATGCTTTATACTGAAGTAAGTTAAGTTAGCTAAAAATGACAAACCAAAGAAAAACCAAGAAAAACTTTCAACTAAGTTTATTAATTAAAGTTAACGCTATTCAGTGTGAATTTGTATAATACAAAATTTATATGATTCATAAGTTGCGATTTAACATTTAGCATTCCTAATAAATATACAATCTCGTTTGTTTCCATGGAATTCTTTATCTTATATCTTTAAATGAGCAAATCTTGTATATATATATATATTTATATTTAATTGGTATCTCGGCATCGGCTCTAACGTATTTCAAGAAAATTTTCGTGATGGATTAGCTAGGAATAATTTTAGAAAATATCATTTTATGAAAAAAAAACAAAAAGGAGGTGTTTAAAATATGATTATACCTGACATCTATTGGCGCATTGTAATGCTACTTTTTGCTAATTGCTTTTACTAATTGTTTTAACGACATAGCAGCAGATGGCGTTGTTAAGCAACAGTAAGTGAATGAGTGCTTGCTTTGGGGTTCAACTAAGAAATTAATTATTGATTTATATCGTTTTTTGATTTCTTAACGTGTTCACTTAAAATGTCTAAACGAAATAAAAAAAAACACTAATAATGCCTAAATCTCGAGCACAGCTCGGTAACCAGATGTTTAATAAACATATTGGATTACAGTCAGAAACAGTTTTAAGAAAATATGTAATTCGTGGAGATTAATTTATCGTTCTTGATAAATACACACCGTGGCTCTATAAGTCAGAAATCTTTATCAGATGTCTTTCACGAAAACGTATAAATGAAGTCAACAACATTTAAAAAAATATCTTTATTACAATTTAAAATTTAGTAAACATATACTTACATATTATAATGTACTTGTAAGTAATTGCACTCCAATTTAAGGAACTTTTAACTTATTTTTCAGCGTAATTATAATTTCAGTGGTTACCATATTCAAAAAGGACATTAAAGTATATCTTTGTACTTTTTGGTTATACTGTGTTAGTTCTTTTCGTTTCCAACAGACATGGAGACCTTACTTGACAAAGAGTTTAAGAAACTGGTTCAAGTTGGCACTTTACTTTTAGGAAGGTGAATGAAGGAACATTTTTAAGTAAATTAAATTTAAAAACTGTTCGGAAGTAAAAAATCTAATCCAGTGCTGAAACAATTGAATGGAGCTTAGCAACAAACATACTTTGAATGTTGATTTACTGTTCTTCAATAATCGGAGGAACGGGGAAATTTAGAATTGTAACATTACCTATAAATTGTAATCAAAATTTATATAGCAAGGCATTGAAAACGCTATTGGAAATAGAATAAAGCAAATTTGACACATCTAGTTGAAAGCTAAAGATGACGCATACAATCATATTAATGTTGGGTGGCTACATAAGTGCTAGTTTTATACATAGCCTGCTTAAATCTAATCTAATTAAGAAACATCTCTATTTTAAATGTATAATCAACGTTAATTAACTGCTCTAATTCTTTTTTGCTTTACGAAAGATTCTTGCTAATTTAGAAAAATAGTTATTGGAATAACTTCGATCACTTTTAATCTGCTTGGATATTTCTGCTACATAATTTTGTTTCCAGAGAAATTACTGCTTTTGAATTTTTAAACCATATTAACAATAACTAATAATCCTTCCTACAATGATCAATGACGGTAATTCTAAATTATTTCTTTTCATATTATAGTAATATTGTCTATGTTATGAAAACCTAATACTTATATCTGTACAGTCTTATGAAGATTAATTACATTTTAATCTATATTAAAAGTTATATTCTTCTCCGGAACCATAAGTGTATTTTTCAGGAAGAACGTAATCTGCGGGATCATGACCATAGGCTTCAATTCCTCCGTTACCGTCACTTACACCTTCCCTAAAACATAAATTATGTTAATATATCTAGAACAAATTAGCTTAAGATTATCCATTATTTAAAAGTAGCATGATTTAATACGTTTCATAAAATCAAATGACCTCAATTCTGCGTGTCCTCTTTCAGGCTTGCGTTGTCTTTTCGGATTTTCTTCATCAATTTCTTCAGCGTCAGGTTCTTGGTATCGTTCAGCTGAAAATTTTATATATAGCATTACAGTTAAGCAAGACTTATACATTCAAACAAATCTGTTACTAACTGCCATCAACCTCGCCAAGTATTTTTTCAGAACCAACACAATTTTCTTGTAGTTTATTTATGTTTTACAAATTAAAGCTACATTATAGATAAGGTTTGATTGTATGTTCACCTTTCCTTTCGTTCTTATGGCTGTGTGCCCCCGCTTGACCTTCATCATCAAGTCCATACGAGTCTTGAGTCTCTAGTTCGTAATCATCTCCTGCCTTTTTGTGATAGGAATCGAAATGTTGATATCCTTTCTTTCCACCGCCGTTCTTCTTACGGGAATATCCAATCACACCGTCGCCCTCGCTTTCATAGGATCTCTCGTAGTTATCCGGCTGTATATAAAAATATATGAAGATTAAATATAATTAAATATATGAAGATATAAGGCAGTGGTGGCCTAGTTGTTAAAGGGTCCGCCTCTCGTTGCCGAGGGCGCGGGTTCAAACCTGGCAAGTACCAATGTGATTTTTCGGAGTCATATGTACTTTCTGAGAGTATTTAGATACCACTGACATACGGTGAAGAAAAACATCGTGATTAAACCTGGTCTTATAATTTCACAATTATAAGTTAGAAATCACCAACCCGGCTTGAGCAAGCGTGGTGATTAATGCTCAAACCTTCTCCATGTGAGAAAGAGGCCTTTGCTCAGCTGTGGGCTCTGATAGGCTGATAACGATGAAGATTATAGCATTTCAATCAAATAATTTAAACAATTAACTGGCTTACTCACTGGAGCTGCTCTAACTTCCCGAACATACGTCCCAACAGAGACCGTGTCATCTACCATTTCCAAATCTGTAAGTATCGGCACGGCAACGGCTATATGCAGTAATCCGAGTAATATAAACTTTAGCCCCGTCATCATTTTAACTGAAAACAAATGACAATCAAACATTACTTTCAAAGGTTATTTATTTCAAAATATTTGCAATATAATATAGGAAAGTAGTAACTAGTGTTTTTTATTTCGTTTATTGTTTACATAATACCTACACATGTACTTGCTTGCTATTCGATACCGCAGTGCTTCAGAACTCCAAAGTGTTTTCCATTTCTTCTATTTTATATAAGTGTTGATTGCGACTTCTTAGTCTTTCACAACTTTTTCTTATTGACTGACTACAAATGCGATTGTCGCTTACTTATTTCTAATACCCTTTTGTCGATACAATACTTCATATTTTTTGCGCCACTACAATAGTCCATGAGATAGTTGTAAGCGGGTTGTGTTACAATATAAAAAAGACAAACTCGTATAGACTGAACTAAATGTACGAGCATTTTAGTTTTAATATAATTAAGTACATTTATCGGCTACATTTAATTTAAGCTATATTTTTTTTATCTATATGTACTTTGAATAAAATAAAGAAATAAATTTCATTTGCTTTACATATGTCGCAGGCGCAACAAAAATTTTATTACGAGTAGTAGTAATTTTATTTGATGAAATTGCTAAACCAATAAACGTGATACAATTTAGTGATTATAATATTAAGCCAATAAAGCTTATTGTTTAGTATGTAGTAAACTGAATAGGTAATATTTGTTGTAACATCTCATTAAAGATAAAATATAAATTGTTTTTAAATGTAGATAGAGCTAAAACAAAAATATGAATTAAAACAAAAAACAAACATAGAACTTTAGTCATAAGATGCATAGTTCTTGTAAACAAAACCCCTTCAATTTTTCATTTATTTATTTGCTGTCACCAGTTTAAAAATTATGTAAAATATTACAGGTACAATCTGAGAATATAATGCTATAATTAATAAATGTATGAACTGTAATTTACTTCTTCTCTATATGGACTCATAGTTCGTTTTAGATTCTCAGATATTTATATTTTTTCAGCTCCAGGAAAAGCAGTGTACACGGTGACACAATTATTTTTAGTAGCCTTCTTTTCGTTGCTAGGTTTTTCATCCTTATTCAAATCCATTTTATATACTCTTATATCAGCAGGTAAAACTTCATAGTTAAATGCGTATTCCCTTTTCAATTGCAAATGTTCCAAAATTTTTGCTCTGCAAGAAACCGTATGCAATTATTATTATGCGTAACAGCTATGCTAGCATCACAATATTTTATGAAAAATTTTACGGAATACTTTGGATTCTATGTGCAATCTTTTTGAAATTTATGTTATTACTGCCGAATCAATCTTTGGACCAAAACTATTGTGAGTAACCAGCAATGTACATAGTTATATTACTTATACTTTTTAAACTCATTTTAAACTACTAACATTGGTTCATCTGTGACATCAAACCGCAGCAAGGGAAAGCCAAGTTCGCGCCCGCGGTGTATGGACTTTTTGGCTAGCATGTAGACCACTTCTGCAGACCGGGGAGAGTCAGGCGGCACCAATAGTATAACCTACAAAAAACATTAACATATTTAAAACTAATATTTTCGAACATGTGACGGACACATCTCGTCTTCTCGTGATCATGGTTGTAGCAAAGTAACAGAAACGTCGTACTTATGTAGTTTTAAAAAAATAATTAAATACGCGTGGTCATTAAAAAATATAAGTTTCATTTCAATTAATACACGCGTAAGCTTTAATAATAGAAATTATTAGTAAACAAATATAAAAACTCCTCCCAATGTGACGGTTAAATATAAAGAATGATTAACTCTCTTCTCGAGCCAGGGCATTCTAGTTAAATCAGTAAATCCAGTGGAAGACGACATATCGGAGGTTGTAGGTTTGAATCTTGCTTGTGTTTATCTATTTTTGTTTCTATTTTGCGCTTAAATTGAACATTTGTGTTTTATTGTTCAAAATAGAATGACATAGTTTTCCATATAGTTTAAAGTGTCTTGAATGTCCTAACAGAAACATATGTAAAAAATAATAATACAAAAATGCTACGTTTAGCACGTTACATAGATGGTGTTCAATATATTTACAAATTATTATCAGAGTAAATATATTATAAACATCCTTTTAAATTCAACAGTATGAATATAAACTTGATTTGATAAATTATTATAATATGTTGCTCCTTATCTTTTAATATTGATTGATCTCTAAAATTTAAAGTGAATCACCTCAGAATTAAGTTGAAAATATTAAATGAAATAAGATGATATTTAAGACATAAAAATCATCTATTTTAAAACGGTTTCAATTAATTACTGTTATTAGTGTCCTAAATAAACACAGAAGTTTTCTCACTTAAACATTAAAACGTGTTAAAAGGAAAGAATATTCAAACCTGTAATATGTTTTGCACTCTATACTTGTCATGTAATTCTGGCGCCCTCAGACAGTGAGCTGTGAACATCATCATTTTCCTCGATTGTATACATCGAACACATTTCGCCCACTTTTCCAACAACGAGGCATCCCAAGGACACACGCAGGTATTGATGGCGACTCCGCGTATTTGTGACCAGCCGCGTTTACCTTCTTGCTGTTCAGCTAACATCGAATGGCCTGTAATAATGAATGTACTTTTTAAGCAATACTTGTTAGTTTGTAGTAATTGTTTAAGGCTTTTTTATATGACAGGGGGCAACGGAGCAGACGGCCTACGTGATGGAGGTAGTACCGTCGGCCATGGACATCCTCAACAGTTTTGCGGATGCGTTGCCTCCCTTGATTACCCTTGAAGGGGTATGAAAGGGTGGGAAAAGAGAAAAGGCAACCGGCTCTTTCACTCATCGGACGAATCGCAGCCATTAAGGACTACTTCAAGGCAATCTTCTGTGAGAGGGTAATACTTCCCCGATCGAGCCAGCCCATGTTCGAAAATTCTACTTCTACTCATGATTGTGGATGTACCTTGAGCTAGGGTTCTAGCTACGAAATCTGACATCACAACATGGTTGCTCGTCGAGTTCTGGTTGACCAGCCCCGGCCAGGCGAGACGCACGTTATCTTTCACGAAGCGTATAACTCGCGTTATGTCCGCGGGACGGGCGCGACGCACGCGCAACACTGGGTCGTCAGCTGTCCCTTGAACCTACAAAATTATTTATACTACGTTAACTTCTACTTTTATTTTGTGTCCTTAAAGAAAAGTACGTATTAAACTTATGTCCTTAAAGAAAAGTACGTATTAAACATATTTTGTGTGCGTCACTCACCATCACTTGCTTGGATGTCGATTCGGCTTTGGTTGAATCTGCATAGTTTCTATAGAACTTACAGATTCTAGATTTGTTGAGATCTGTTCCTTTGATTACGCTTCTGCTAGAGAAAAGTTTTAACAAACAGAATTTGGAAGGCATGCTAAAAGTCCAGAACTTGTAATTTTCTCTAGACTGATGAGATTACAAACTGCCCTATTTACGTTTGTTGAACATTTTTTTTTTGTTGTTTTAAGCGTATTTATATAAAAAACATGTATTTTATGTACGGACGCATGATGACAGCAGCTTTGACAATTAGATTTTTAGTGTTGTTAAATTTGTTCCTAAATTTTGAAAACCAGCCAGGATTACCTTTTGTACAGACGTCCATGTATTATTTATTTTAACTTGTATGTAATTTTAATGACAACATATTTGAAATTCTTTATTAAAATATGATTATTCCCCTTATTTGGTGTTCACAACTTAGAATTAATAAAAGTAAAAAAGAAACAGAACGGAAACTATTTAAAACTAAACACGTCCATCTTCTGTCAGGTGTAATTTGTATTCAATATATCTAAACATGCTAAAATTAAAAAGATATTAAATTTCTGTAAAGTTCTTAAAGATGAGGTGAATCACGATGAACTGCATCAAAGCCCTACAAAGCGGTATATTTTCATTTCGATCACTTCCAATAGTAAATTTACCCTCAAAGCGGTTCAGGAGAAAATTTCCCTGTGATGTGTGCTGCCACACTCCGTATAAGAAACCGGTAAATTTTTCCCTTTCTTCAATGTATTTTACCCAAAATTCATTTAATCTTCTTTAACCACTAAATTTCTGTAGGACCGTATTTGTTCTTCAAGAAACCTTATGCTTGGTTTAACAAGCTTAAAAAGGCAATACTGGTCTTAACAATCTTACTTATTTTCAGTGTTTTGACATAAACAGCGTTACTGTTGAACGAGCAACTGATAAACATGGCAGACTAATAAAATCATTCCTCTATAACCACTATTGGCCGCGTGAACCTAGCGTCGTTGGACTATGGATGAGTCTTGACTGTCCCTACCTTGAAATAATCACGGATAGATATTCTTTTTCTGGTAAAAAAACGTTTTTGTAGTATTTCATTTTAAATATCGGCAGTGATTGGTTTAGTACGAGATTAGTCATAACTTAAGAAGAACACTAATAACCAACAAGCGTTAAGAGTTTTAAATACAACTACGTTTGTCAAATTTATTTTGCAGTATTTATCATTGTAGATTCTAACAAACGTTTCAGTTACTTTTTAGTAAACTTAATCAAGTACAGACGAGATGAAAGACAAATGATCGAAGTAATTGTAAAAAAATAAATACATTTTTACTTAACTAACTGCACTATATAGTATTGAAAAATCTTGGATTAATATTTTCTGAAGCTGATTATATTTTCCTTATTAGATCTATAGATATATATATTTTTTGCCTTTTTGTTAGGCGACCGGTTCCTTGCCTTTGAGTTAATAAAGCGCACCAATGAAAGAAATTTGGCTGGTGTCTGCGTAGCCAACAAGACATTCCCATGGATGATAGGCGAGCTCGAAGATTGGGCACACTTCACAGCATCACAGCCTGAACGAAACAGAATGTACTTCATCGCCCATTGCTTGAAGAGTCCTAATTTATTTGCGAAATACAACGTGGACTATTTGTATGATGTAATGTTACAATCATTTTCTTTTTATATATTTTTGTTTATAGCATAGTAATGATAAAAAGAACTTTAATGAGAAAACAAATGTTAGTCCAAAAATATTATGGTTTTGCATTATAAGTATAGGCATATGTCAAGTAACAAAACGAAAAAGAGATAGTTTTAATTTTTAATATGCATGCTTTTTGAAAGGTTGAAATTCTTGGAACATCAGACGAGGTAGCAGGTCAAGGAGTTGGCCGGCTTCTCCTGCAGACAGTCCTGAAACACGCAAACGAACTCCGACATGCAGTGGTTCAAGTGATTGCTGTTAATCAATATACGTAAGTCGGTTCCTACGACAAGAAACAATTTGTCATGTTCGTTCCTTGATATTTATTATTGCATATATTTTGATCTTCCTTCCTCACTCTTCACTTGAATTATTCGTTTTACGCTTATGTGTTGGAATACCTTCACACAATTTATGAATAATATATGTACTTCATGAGTGTTTAAAAAATATTAGAAGGCCAAAGACCTTGCCTGTTATATTAAAGTTAGATCATTACATTCAGACTAGGGAGCTTGGTAAGAGATATATGTAGTTCGTTTTTAAAACCAAAGACAATGGATTTCAATAATAAAGTCTTTCATCTTCAATGATAAATTATCAATTTTTCTTATATTATATTATATTTTACGCGTATTTTCCCTAATTTTTTCATAAGAATCTTTTCCTGATGACATATGGATTTATTTATATCTATATGATGGCCAATACTAACTGCCCACGGTTTCCTTTATAAGTTGGATACATTGATTTTGTCCGCGACGTTATATCTACGTTATATCTACATTGATTTTGTCCGCGACTCAGTTCGAGTCAATTTCAGAATTAAAGCTGTATTCTACTCTATTCCACCTTGGAAGCCGTAAATAAGCTAGTAAGTACCCACCAATTTGACTGAAATCGGTACAGTCGTCTTTGAGTTATAAACAGTGTATCTATCACCACTTTCTTCTATATACATATACATACATAGAAGTAGTGCTTAATGATAAGTTAGTGGTGGCCTAGTGGTTAAAAGGGTTCGATCGTGGTTTGATCCTGGCCCGGGCAAGTACCAATGTGATTTTTCCGAGTCATATATACTTTCTAAGAGTATTTGGACATCACTGATTAATGCATTCCCAAAGAGGGTTGATGTCAGGCAGGCAGCTGGTCGTAAAAACAATTAGCCAAAACTATTCACAACATGTAAAGCAGACCCTGGCTAAAGCTGGGAAATTGCCAGGTAGAAGAAGTAGTGCTTAATGATGAAAATAAATAAAATCAACTGCATAAAAATTCATAGCACTTTAGGTAGTTAAAAAAAGTTGTATTATAAATATAGTCAAAGGAAAATGTCTTTTTAATAAAATCCTCTTACAGTGCTAGGATCTGTGAAAAGTGTGGGATGAAACGGGAATGGTCGATGGATTACTCTGAGTTCGTGGATGACGCCGGTCAGAGAGTGTTCTTCCCACGGCGGCCGCATCATACGGTTGCTGTTTATGTGAAACATTTTGAACCATCGCTTGGTGGTCGTTTACCATGCAAACCGCCATACTTGAAGTAGATTATGGCTCAAACATTGTATGAGTTCCTAAGGGAGAAGTATTACGCGGTAGTAGATTTCATTATGGATATGATTGAAAGATTTGTGAACTTCGTCACGGGTAGATCTGACAATATATTAGACAGCTCAACAAGACGAGCTCGCAGAGCAATCGAGCGGCTTTAAAATTTCAAGTTTTCGTTACTATATTTTCGGTATACCCTGGTAATTAATAAAATTATATTTTACAATGATTTTGCTTTTTAAACCTTATTGATAAAGCAATTTTTATAATTAGAGGATGAAATAAAGACTTTATTTTAAATGTAATTCTTTTTTAATAAAAACACTGACCATCCATTTTAATTAGAGAAACATTTCACAACTGGTATTGAAATATCAGCATGCAGTATAAATAAAAAGAGAATGAAGTTGTTTGTAATCACTAAAAAAGTATCAAATTAACTGATTGTACAATCTTATTATAAGAAAAGAAAGTGTGAACGACCTTACCGTGGTTACAACAGGTAAGATTTGTTCCAGTAAATTGATTGATAACATACCGTTTTTACTACAAATTGAACTTCTAATATTTATTACTTTTAATTGAAAAGTTTGATCAAATCAGCCTATAGTTAAAAACGATATCATACAAGTTAGTCTTTCCCCATACATGCGTTATAAATAAATATAAAACCAACAATTTAAGGACCAAATATAACATTGAAGTAATCATCTTACTAATGAAAAACTTCGCAAAATTCACTACCGTAACAACTAGCTTATCACCGTACTATATAGCTTACTTATTGATATGATTAAAGTTTATTAAATGCTAGTTCTTTTTGGCGTATCCCCACTGAGAGCTGCCCTGTTTCCCTCCTTTCTTTCCATGTTGTGAGTGTTCCTGGTGATGCTCTTCATGACCCTTTTGTGCTTTATGTCCATTGTGATCGGCATCCAGATGACCTTTGTTACTGTAGAGTAAAAACAATTGTCACTCTAATAGTCGTATGTTTGACGGCTTACAAACTTTCGAGATACAAGATTTATTTATGTATATGTTATTGGAAATATGATTCCATATTATATAAATTCTAATAAAATAAACGGTAAACCCAAGTAACTTACTAGATATAATTGCAGTATTAACTTCAAATTAGTTTTGTAAGTTTTTGACTGCATTCATATCGTAAGAATCTCAACCTGAACATCTATCAGAACAATTCGCTCTCATATTTTTTTTTTGATGTAATAAAAATTTGGTCTCACCTGTAGCCTTTCTTTCCATGCTGAACAAAGTCATGTCCAGCGTTCACGTGTGAGGCCTTTTTCTTACCACTCTCGTTACTGGCGTGTTTTGCGTTGAATTTTCCGAAGCGATGATGCTCGCCTCCTTTGTGATAGTCGTCGTAGAATTTGTGCTCTTTATGGAATTCATCCTTGTGGTATTTATTGTGATATCCTTAATAAGGGAATAAAATTAAATATAAAACACAAGTCACCACCAATATAAGGTAAATGAAACTTATATTTTTTCGGATATACTACGCGACTTTATTTTTGTAAAAAAACTACATACTCCCGATATCTCGTCTGCCCGTGATCACGGTTATGTGGTTTTTTACAAAAACAAAGTCTCGTTGTATATCCGACAAATAGAAGATTCATATAATTTAATAAACCCGGGAAAATCTTAAATCTCATAAAGTAACATAAGATACCATATTATAATAATGTTGTAATAAAACCTGACAATCACAATGGATAAACAATGCAATATGTCTTTTAGTTCCACTTTAAATATAATGAGATGATATCGTAATGTACGACCGACCGACTTAGGTTTTTTTGTTCTTTGGAATCTTTTGTTTGAAGATAAATTTTGCGGTCGAGTGAAAGCGGAGCAGATTGTTACATAAAGTTATTTGCATCGATCAATTGATTGCATTCTGTTGTTTTATAGTTCTGGAGTATTCTAATTCGTTTCATTCTCTCGTTAAAAACAATACGGGGTTAATTTAATCGGTGAAGTGGCAAATATTTTTAAATTCTTTAACTTACACTAGAGATATTTAATACCCTTAATATTTTATATGCATACCCTTTGTTTTGTGTCCTTTTTTGTGTGCTTTCTTTTCTCCGAAGTGAGCTCCTCTCTGTCCAAATGCTTCTTCCTCGTGGCTGCCCTTGTGGTTAGCTCGGTCGTGATGTTTTTTCTTTTTTCCCGCAGCTTCTTCATATTCTTTTCGATGATTTTCGTCTTTCTTATGACCTTTTTGACCTTTGTCTACGTAATGATCACTGTGAGACCCTTTATAATTCTGTAATAGAGAAGCATAACTGTAATTATCTTTATTTTTGTAGTAAAACTACTAATTTTATGTTTAGTCCATGCCTGTATGTTTATATTCGGAACAGTTTAGTGTTTGATTTATTATTGTACGAAAATAAATACGCAATACTCAGATATAAATAGAAGGGAAACGTCCGCAATACTGTTACGAGCACGTTTCTACTTCCCTATAATATCTACACTTTCCTAAAACCAACTTCACATTTTGAAATATAAATAGTCGTTTGTTACATTCTATATGACAATGTTATGTAATTACCTATATAAAAAATATAATAAGAAAAGTTCTGTTAGTTACTTTACATGTAGGACTAATAGTAACAGTAAATAATAATCGAAATTAATAACTGACTCCCAAGAACAGCAGTTTTGAATATACAGAAAAATAATAAACGAAACTTTATCAACATTAATTTTTCATTTCTTATACAGTATATAACAAAATAATACTCACTTGTTTTCCAACCTCTTATTTACAGTTAGTTCACTTCATTAGAATTAATATTACTCATTATATGAGTTAAAAAATATGTAATTATTATGTACTATGAAAATTGATGGAAAATAAATTAAAATACATGTCACATCATTTTCTAAAAATATCCTTACTACGTTAAACATATATGAATGTATTTTTAAGGCTACTGTTAAATGTTCCTTTTAATAATGTATATGCGAGTATGATTTATTGAGTAGGTACTTATTAATACTATTACAAGGAACCTTCAGTAAATACCTTCAATCCTTTATAAGGAAATTCCGTAGAGGATGTTTAGAATATTTGATAAATGTTTTAAAATCACGCAAACCTAAAACTTTGAAATATTATTTCGATTGTCGTTTTTAATTTTACCCTCATAACTAAGAAATGTTACTAATAAAATACCTTCGATTTGGTGCATCGAAATATTAAGACGCTTCATTACAGTTATACAAAACTTGAAAAAGAATGTATGTATTTATTATATTGAAAATTAAAACTAGCCTTGATGACTCTTAGAATAACCTATGTGTGATTTATAACGAATACAGTAGATATTAAAATAAAACAAAAAATCTCTCAAGAATATTGAAACCGGTTAAACAAATTTAGTTAAAAATTAATTTACTTGCCATATTTTTGTTACATCATTGTAACAAAAAAACCTCATTAAATTTCAAAATATTAACCTGAGCCTTGAACGTTGGCGGTTAGAAAAAAATAAACAAAAGGTTGAGGTGGAATATTAACAAATCATTTAACTTACCTAGTATTATTTGCGACTTTACATAGAATTTAATACTTAAGAAAAGATATTGTATTGTCAGGTATGTTCTATATGAATGTAATGTAATTATCAGCAAAAATACCTACCTTCCCACCGCCGGCGTTGTAGTGATGGCCTTGATTTTGATGTCCACCTCCTTGGGAATATATGACAGTGTGTGGAGCCTTCTGTTGATGATGATTTCCAGCTGCCGGAAAAGAATCCGCTGCTAACGGTTCATTGGTATTAGCGACATTAGCTACGTATGAAGATTGAAGAGCTGGTGGGTCTACTAGTTGTATGGGATCTAATGCCACGGGAGTACCGAATGTAAGTCGACCAGCTTTCAATTCGGGATTCAGGCTGCGACCTTTAGGTGCGGGCAAATACACCTTATGATAGTGTTCGGCACTGGCTGCTAACATTTCCTCAAAAGGCGGTGAAGGTATAGCAGCTTCATTAGTAGCTTCATGGACCTCATACTGGTGAACTTGTCGTGGTCTCCTGACGTACTCAGCTGAGCGTTTTTTCCTCTCTTTTTCTGGTGCTTGTTCCTCGCATCGTCTTTTTATTCTTATGTGTTCTTCGAAGGGTCCCTCGACGTAGGTTTCCCGTTTAGACCTGTCGTGGTCATCGTAATCATTCTGATCTCCTAAATCCTCTTCCTCCACCCAGGGTTCGTCTGCTATTTCAGCGACCACGATGGCCGCGAGGGTGAATACCCAGATAGCAGCTCGCATTTCGGACTGTGCCTCTGCTTACAGTTTTTTGTTATATACTTCCCACCTTTCACTGTTGCCACAAGCTCGGTATTGCTCTATAGCAGGTGTAACTGGAGTTTATATCGTTTTGTGTTCGCACATTTTGTCAGAGTTGTTTGTTAAACGTTCGTACACGACTACAGCGGCAGATGAACTGTGCGTGGCCGATGTAGAAAGCGTTAATAACACGATACGAATGGTTTAACTTTTTGATTTTTCACTGAACTTAAATATGACGGTTGTTAATAATTTAGTCTATACATGTTTACACTCATAATAATTATGTGTATTTGTATACTGAAAGTCACTTGGTTGTTAATTATACTTACGTTTTTTAGATGTCTATTTTTAATGCGGTAAATAATTCATAACAGTAATTTTAAACGTTGTTTATAAATAAAATGTAAGTTAATTTGAAGTAGTGAATCTTCGAAATTTGATGTTTTTCAAATACATAATATTTGGAGTAAAAAGATTTTTTATCTTAAATAAGAATGCTCAAAGATTGTACGTATACTGACATGTTTAAATATACATATGCTATAGCTATAAGAGGTATAAGTTTTGCTTAAAGAAAAACAAGACAATGCATATTAAATTAACTTTCAAAAACTTACACAAATACTATTCTGAAATTAATGAGTTTCGACGTATCATCGAAACAAAAATTTAATTGCAAATTTAATGAACCTTATTGTGTTCCACAATCGTCCTTGACAATAATAATCGTTAAAATTATTTATATTTTTTGTATTATAGTGTAGGGTCGGGGTCTTGGAAATCGAATTAATTTCACAATAGTGTCCCACTTTCTCAAGATTCAAATAACATTAGTATCGTTAATAGTATAAAATCAATTTAAGAAATAATACGCATGACTTTTCTTTATGGTATTTTGACTCTTCTTAAATCTAAAAGATTAAACTATCTGGATGTAAGACTTAATAATTAAAATTATAAAAGTTAAGTAAAAATAGTGAAAAAGTTGTTACAGTTTTGATGAATTCTTCTGTTAACTAATCAGATGTTGAATAACGTCAGGTATATTTGATTATTTTAAATATTAGAAAAGATTGTTACTCATTTTAAATTCACATAAACCTATTGTAAATAAACATTAGAGATGATATGTACATTTTAACTCTGAAAAAGTAAATAAGTAATATAAATATGACTAAAATTCTATTGCATATAAGGAGTCGTAGAAATGTAATTTAAATCAATGTTTTGAAGCGAGCAACCGGCGATAAATTAAGAAACAATTAATTGACGAAATATAAGTTTTTTCCACCAATTACAAAAGCACCAAACACTGATGACTGAAATAATTGCGATACAATATAGAACGTGGGCGAGGCTGTTGCGTTAGCTATGGAATAAGATGAATTAAAAATAATTATTTACATCTGTTACGTAAAAATATGTGACTTGGACTGTAATGTTGATAAAACTTTTTATACATCAACTGCGGTTTTTAAGCATTAATATTGACGATAAGAAAAGATAATCAAGATCGATTTTTAACTCACAACTTATCGTGAAACTCTTAATACCTACTATCATTTTAAAATTGCCAACGTTAAAATCGTTGCTGTTTATGTAAACAATATGACTTGTATTAAGGATAAATTTTTCATGCGTCAATACGAAATGAAGTCCAAAGTGTTACAGAATTCTTGGTATATTTTGGTAGTGAATAAAATATAACAAAATAAAAATACTTTGGACTATATACAATTGAAGTCAGTGGTGGCCCGGTTCTTAAAGGGCCCTCCTCTCATGCATGAGGGCGCGGGTCCGATCCTAGTAAGTACTAATGTGATTTGTCCGAGTCATATGTAATTTCTAAGATTACTGATTAATGCATTCCCAAAGAGGGCAGTCAGGCAGGCGGCCGGTCGTAAAAAATTGGCCAAAAACTATTCACAACAGACCCTGGCTAAAGCTGGGAAATTGCCAGGTAGAAGAAGGACTATATACAATTGATTACATCTATCAATAAACCATAAAAATGCCTCCAATCACATAGAATGGTTTTGTCCTGATTATTTGGGAACTATTTTTAAAGTAAAAGATATTTTTTTTATGAAGGCCAGAGTTTAAGCCATAGTATGATCTTTATTAGTTAAATAGTAATAAAAAAAGTTAAAAAGTGTTGATGAAGTGTTATAAATAAATGCCATGTATCCCTTATGGGTTGGGTTTGTTAGAATCATTGAGGAGTTCACATGTTCATAAAGAACAAAAGGTGTGTTAAAAGTTGTTTCTTACATTTCCTTGTAGGTACATAATAAATTGACAACCGAAACTATGTACAGGCAATAGTTTATAAAGCGTTCAAACAAAATCAACTGAATATTTTTTTATTATATTGTTCATATATCAGAATAACATAAAGTTTATTAAAACATCCATAGTTCCCGCGGTTTCCACTACGTCATCGCAGATGTATCTTGTATAGAGTTTCCTGGTATGGACGATAGATGTCACTGCCAGTCTGTTAAGCGTCTTTTTGTTTATTTCTTTTTGAATCTTATTATAAAGTCTTTTGGATCAGAAAAAGTTAATTAAAAAATTAACGTTCGGTAAAAAATTAAATTCAGTAAAAACTATATTATAAAACTACAAATAGAAAATTTATCAATAAAAAGATTTTCCTTAGCACCAACATTTACACTCATTTCTTTCTTTTAAAATGTCTACAACAGGGTCTTAATTTTAGGTGATAGTGTGTCAATCAACTGATTTATAAACATTTTTATACCCAATACTTACATGTAGATGATTAATTATATTAAGGTCATCTCCATAAGAACATTCCTACTTACTTTTATAAATAACGAAAAATGTCAACGGACAACCACAATTTGCTATTCAACACTCTAAATGGAGTTTCCATTTTTACAACTACTTTTTATATCTAAGAGAGGTTTTTGTAAAGAAAAACAGGTATATATTTTATTAACAGATTTTATTTCACGTAAAAGTAACAAATACTTAAATGTTTTCAGCGAAAGGTATGTTTTGTTATGTGTAACATTATGCTGACATAATTGTATTCTTATGTTCTAAACACAAGATTGATTAAAAGCATAACATAAATGCCAGTTATATATGGAGAGTATTTTTGTAGACGGTAATGAGATACATTAATCATACAAGATATTGTTTGACTTAATATTAAATATTTACAGTATATTTAGTGTACAATTAGTTAATCAAATTGTTTGTGATCAAGTTAGTTAGTAGAACTATAATTTCAGACGTCTTAAACCCGCACATTAAGTTCCGTACATTATCACCATGAATTAATACATCGATTACTTATATTATTCTAGATATTTATTTTATATACATATATTTTACAATTCCAGTATGGCACGCAGTTTTATAACTATAAACATTGTCGATAAATAAACATGAATAAAATAATTTTGGTACTAAATTAGGATGTTTTTATCAAATCGCTAACAAGCGGCAGAGGATCTGGTTCTTTTATTTTGTTTTTCTTATGTAAAGGGCTACTCTTCTGTTTGGGTCCCGCCTCGGATTTATTATGGATAGGTTTGTATTGAGCAGATATTGATACGCTTTTTTTATTATCTAATTTTTGGCAACTTGTGTTTATATTTAAATCACTGGATACAGTTATTGTTCTCGTGTGTTTCACTACACTGTTTTGTTTTAACTTCTCCGGCGACACTTCTAGTTTACTGTGATGCAAACAAGTGGATGTCGTCTGAAAGTAGAAATTAATCAAATTAAGTATTAATATAACAATACTCGTATTCTTAACAAAACTATTAATATTATGACAATACTCTTAATAATTACATTAATATTGATAAAAAAAATCTTTATTTTCGCAAAAATAAACGGCAACAATAATTGTCAAATGAATTTTATCATTTATTTCCTATGATTTTTTAAATTTTGATAAGAAACAATGTCATAGGGACTAATTCAGTCTACTTTTAACGGACTTGCAAAAGTGTGAAGTTCTAATTCTTATGTTTCTTACGTTAAAACTTCTTCAATTAACTATCAATACGTAATAAAAATTACAGTTTAAATACAAACGAATTTGTAGTTTCGAATACATCAAATCAGGATAAAACGAAGGGTTCCTCGAGAAATGGAATTAAAACCTCATAAGGACTGTAGTGCTTATTCAGAAAGGGTTTATTTAGCCAAATCCACAAGCTAGAACTAGTAATATCTTCATATATTAACAATGTATCGTAGTAAAGTAAAGTAGCTATCTGCTGCCTATCTACCTTTTAAGTTCTCTGTCTACACTTCTTCTTTCCTGGGTATACTGGAAGAAATCTCTTCTAGGGATAAGTATACCTTTTAAACTTATTTTGCCTGTGTCATATTTTTGTTCTAAATGTTTCAAAAAAATTGTTAAATAAAATAAAGTATAATATGTATAATATTACTACAGGAATCCTCGCGTATCTCGCCGCTCGTCCTTCCAGTTCACTGCGGAGTCTCCAGGCCGCGGCTGCTGCTCGACGTCGAGACGCTGACACCTCACCACCCACGAGGGTGTGCCAGCTGGAAGATATTACAGTTTGATATAGGAAGTGGTATTAAACTTTCATAGAAAACATATTAAACTAACACTAACGTATAACGTAACTTGTCTTGAAGAGCGAATGGTATATGGAGTCTTTTATTATATTCTTAATATTTAATAGTCTATAGAAGAATAAGTGGTATCGAGCTTATTTTTAAATATGTACTATTTTATAACGAAAACCTAAGAGATAATAAAGAAGGTTTTATGATAAAAAACTAAAACATTTTAATTATATGTTATGATGTGGTTATAATATTCCTGAGAAGATACATTTGTATTTCAGTATCCCTGTTATTATAATAAGCATTAAAAATTAAGTAGGCAGATTCATATAAAAAAAATATGTAGGCTTTTGAACAGAGTTCAAATTTACAGAAATCAGAACAGAAAAGGA